AGCTGTCACTCTCCATAATATACCCATTCCTCAGTCCAAGGAAGTCAAATACTTGGGACTCCATCTAGACAGCAGGTTGACGTGGAAAACTCACATTATCAAAAAACGCAAAGAAATGGACCTAAAGTTGAGAAAGCTATATTGGCTCATCGGACGGAAGTCGTCGTTAATACTAGCCAACAAAATACTGATATACAAGTGTATAATTCGGCCCATTTGGACCTACGGTTGTCAGTTATGGGGCTGTGCAAGTCGATCTAGCACTGATATTATTCAACGCTTCCAATCAAAAACTCTCCGTATTATCACAGCCGCTCCTTGGTATGTATCCAACCAAACTCTTCACTCGGACCTAAACATTCCCTACGTGACTGAGATAATCAATCAATATGCTGCGAAGCATCAAACAACATTGGAAGTTCACCCCAACGAGCTCGTGACACCTCTCGCAGAAGATCCTCCGCCCAGACGCCTTAAGAAGAAATGGCCAAAAGATCTCGTAGATAAATAGCGGACTGACTCCACTGGGAGTCCCTCTACTCACGCCTGATAATGACAGACAATAAGCTCATAGAATGTAATATATATTCTGATTGCTTATGGAATTTAATCAATAAAAAAAAAAAAAAAAAAAAAAATATTAAAAGGACGTTTTAGATGTTTGTCAAGGCACAGAGTTCTTTTATACCATCCGAGTAGAGCAGCTAACATCATTTATTCTTGCTGTGTTCTTCACAATATTGCTCTCCGGGCAAGGATTCCTCTTCCGGAGGAAGAAATAGAATATAGAGACGAGATTGGCATAGGTAAACGTTTTCATGTACATCATTACCTCAAATAAAATGTACAATGTTTTTAGAAGGCAATTTGGAGTACAATGATGTTCTGCAAGAAGGGAGGGCTACAAGAGCTAGATATATAAGAAATAATTTATTATTATAAAATACAAAAAAAAAACTCCAAGACATTTATGTTAAAAAAAAGACTATTAATCAAAATCAAATTTAAAGTTTTGGTTTTCAAATTTATATTTTGCCACTTCAAATTTAAGTCGAAGAAGCTCGTTTTTGTTTTTTTCCTTTTTACACTTTATGTACTCTTCGGAAAATTGTTTTACAATGGAACCTAATTCTTCAATATTTTTTTCGGATTTGTTCATTGTATTCAATAAGCTTTCTGTCACAATCGACAATGGCTTTTGCCGAGGTAGAGTTTTTGTCCCAGGTTTTTGCGGTGGAACGGGTGTAACAGCCGGTTCAATTTCAGGTGGTACTATTACTGGTGTATCATCTTCAACCGGCATTGGTTCAGTAATTTCCTCCTCAAGAGGTATTATCATGGTATCTGAATCTAATAAAATTCCATCGAAGTTTGTAACACCCAACGCACCGGTTACGGTCACTTTTCCCCATACACAGAGTGCCCGTTCTTCCATGTCTGTTAGTGTTATACTGCTTTGAGGACCTGATCCAGTCTTTAAACGGTGCTCATTTAATTTCCTATATTTGTTTTTCACAAAGTACTTCCAATCTGTAAAACGCTAAAAAAGATGGTTATTTAAAAAAAGCGATGAAGAGATTTAAAATAATGCTACAAAACTTGTGCTGAAGTTTGCTGTATAAATCATATCGTTTTTACCTTTTTCCAATCAGCTACAGTCAGCTGAGGCCCATCTGGATCAGAATTTAACTTTTCTGACATTTCACCCCATTTATTTTCGATGTAATTTACATCTAGCGATGGGTTGATTGTATTGGATCGCATATGGTAGTCATTTTCCATGTAATATAAGTAAATATTATATTGATTAGTTGTTGTGTTCTTGGTTCTCTTTCTCTTTTTGTTTTCTAAGCTAAAAAAATGTAAATTGTCATTTTTAGGTTAGGATATTAATTTTTTTTAAACAAAGAAATAACATTGTAAATGTACAATGTAATCTTCAATAATAAAATCTTACCTCATAATGCTACTCTATATTCAATTTTACTTCAGTAAACTGTCCAAACGGCAAGGAAACCAAGGGATAAATGGTGTACACTACCGGCTTGTCAATGAAAACAATAGAAGTGAAGTTGGTTGCGATCGGAACGGCTCGGTAACGGCGACTCGTAACGCTTTTCATTACGAGTCGGCGCACAGAATTGCAAATTTTAAGGTTTTGTAAAATTTCGCTTACGATCAACTTATAAGCTACGGGCGTACGGTTTTACGGTTTAACGATTGCATATGTACAGAATTCCAGCATTAATGTATGCCACACGCATACATGAAAGTACCATAAGCATTATTGTCATGGAAGTATGTCAAGCTATAGTAGACAACCTATTGAGAAAGTATATACAGGTATAATATGGGTTCATGTTGGGTTTAATTCATTCTAACGTTTTGATAGTTGCCTCAAACTACTTTGGAGTGGGAAAACGTGGCCAGCGGTTTCGAGAAACTTTGGAATTTTCCTATGTGTCTCGGCGCTATAGATGGCAAGCACGTCAATTTTCAAGCGCCTAAAAGCAGTGGTTCTTACTATTATAATTATAAAGGCTCGCACAGTATTGTGCTACTAGCTTTAGTAAATGCAGAGTATAAGTAATTTTCATTTTCAACAATAGAGACCTCAGGATCTATAACTTAATTCCAAAACGTATGAAGAAAACACAAATTAAGTATTGTTTACCTGTTGTACTTTCATATGGTTTTGGTGCTATTTGGATACTTTCCCCATTCCTTGTGTTATTTGGACGTTTTCGCTGTTGATTGCCCTTTCTTAGTATCTCACTGTTTCTTGAGTGATCTGAAAAAACGGAGAATGTAGGGTAGCAAAATTTAGAAGAAATTACTACCTTTCTGTTTTGGATTTTTTAGTTTTGGAGGTGATGGTAGCATTGTGTCGCTGCTTTCAGATTCACTACTGGAAATTATTTTTTTTTTCCTTTTTCGTTTGTTACAGTCTTCTGTGTCTGTATTTAAGTCGCTGGTGTTCTCAGCAACCTTTGCCTTTTGTCTAGCTATCCCATAATCATCTAATAGTATATTAAGTATGGAGAACGGTAAGGGATTTTTACCGTTCGAAGACAATTGTTTGGAGGAGGAGCGGAGCGACGACTCCAATTATTGTCTGAGAACGGTAACCCTTAACGTTCGACGTGCTTATAACATTTTTTGCGCGATCGAAATTAAAATTATGCAACCAATATAAATATGCACTAAGAAATTAACGAGCAGAATAAATTGAAATGATCGAAGTGGTATGGTGTGCATCACTAGGTAACCAGTTTATTTGTCAAAACTGAAATTAATAATTTCTTGTGCATGTGTCTGATGTAGTTTGCTAGCTTTGCACTTCCGTTATGACTTTATGAGCGAGGTATTCGCCGGTGGCCGAATGGTATGTTGAAGATTTTACAGAACAAAATTGTAATTGGAATGTATTAAGAAAAACGAAAGCACATCTTCAAACACATTGATCTCTATTGCTTCAGGTTTAAATGAAGAACGTGTTCTTTCTATAGGAAACATCAGCACAAATTGTAAGTTTAATGTAACAATAATTAAAGATTAAATGTAATGTAAGACTGTTAATAGTCGGGGCTAAAATCTCAGAAAAGCTCTCCGTTTCAATGCAAGAAGCATTTCATGTAACAATTGAGTTAACACCGGTTCTCCCCTATTTAGACCCCGTTGAATCCGAATATGCCATTTGCCAACTCGAAATTTCAACCGGAAGTGAGATATTCAAGATGGCGTCCAAAATAGCGCCAAATTTAAGTGTTTTTTTGCTTTTGGTCATATGTGTGCGATCCAAGTGTCTATCCCTAGGTTTTTTGGGGCGTAGAACACGATTAAATACTTAAAAATAAATTTGGTTAAGAAAATCACCATTAAAAAGTCATATTTTAACAAAATTTCACAAAAATTTCACCAAAATGCAAGTACAAATGGTAAATATTTATTATTTTCACATGTCTAAATATATCATTATTTTAACTCAATGGCATCATCCTATTATCATTGACACACGCGCGCGCTCTCACATACGCACACACACACACACACACACACCCTTACCCGCCTCGTAATATTTATGGCAACATGAGAATAAACCCAAATTGTGGCGATTTCGTTTAAACATACATAAGAGGTAGCGCCATCTCGTGCGGATCATGAAAAACCGAGGGGATCCAAGATACCTTCCATAGGAAGGAAACTGTACTGTGTTAAGTATTATGGCATCATTTGCTACAATTATTATGAAACAAGATTTTAGTGTGTGGGCTGCCAGTAATTGGCCATTTTGTGCAGTGTGTTACAGATAGATGCCACAAATATTGCATTTCCAAATTTGTGTGAAAATGCAGTGTTGCCAAGATTTCTCTCTCTGTTTTTCTTATAGATAACGATTGCGGAAGAGGATATTTCCTCTGAATATGTATGTACATTAGTATAAAGGGGGAGGGTTACATAAGTTCTTCGAAACGAAAACTCTCATGAAAACAATATTATTCAACTGGTGTGGGAGTTCGATGTGTTGCCTAACCTCATTCACGCTACGCTATGAAACCGATAGAAACGCCTAAGATAATGTCATATTGCAGAATAGACAAAATTGATGACAAAATCATGGTTGCCGTACAAGTTAGGTAGGTACGTAGTCAATTTTAGGTACCTAAATAGTGGTAGGTAGTTGCGCTAGTCTAGAATCTAGAGCAGTGGTGCAAATGGCACCTGGACCAAAACATTGAATAAAAATTCATTCAATGACCAAAAGTTAACAGCCATCAAAGACATAAGCTGAATCAAGCAACGCTTTACAAATGTCCTGAAGCAGTTTATGTATTAAAAGTATCTAGTAGATTTCTTACAAACAAAATTCATCCTTGGGATATCCCCTCCCCAGATTATCTCTCTGTTCTTACCAAATTAATTTACCTTTACCGCGAGATCCACATATAGTACCTACCGTTTAGAAAAAATTAACCCAGGTACAAAACACAATTTTGCTTAGAAATCTTTATTCAGTTGGCTATATACACAAATACAGAAGGAATTTTATAAATCCCAATGAACAACAGAAAAATTAAAAATGTTTCAGAAAACTACAATAATCTTAATTAGTACAGCAATGGTACTTTCAGCATTGAATTGATAACTATCTATAAATTCAATGCTTTCAGTAAAGCTAGCTAGTACCTGTACATTTTTTAGTAATAAGAAATAGATTAAACGTGTAAAATGCCGCACTATAGTACAACAAAGGCAGTTTTTAACTTTCTATGAGTAAAGACACTCATCTTTTCTCTTGTCTAGATGGTTTTTAATGCAGAATTTTACGCCGGTCCATGATCTTGTGGGCAAAACATCATGTTCTTCTAAGCACTTTTCACATTGAGCTTCTCCGGGTACTAGATCTTTTTTTAATTTCTTGGTTGAAAAAACCTAAGACAGCTGATTTTTCTTCTGAAGACCATATGGCGCGCTACTAGAGATTTATGCTGGAGTTTACCTGTAACATTAACATGATGTTAGATAAAATTTAACATTTGTATCTCACCAGAATCAAATAATGAAATAGTAAAATGATGAAAATAAACCTCTCGTCAGGAAAGATTGCCGGTCACAAAACACTTGAGCTGGGTCTACAATCGAGGTTTTTCTAAAAATGTAAGCGACTTCCGGGATAGTATCGTGTCAATGTTGAACAAAAAGACTTTTCGTTCAACATTGGCACGATCCTATTCCGGAAGTCGCTCGCATCTTAAGAAAAACATAGACAAGGTGTGCTGTGACCGGCAATCTTTCCTGGCGATAGTTATACAGGGTGGTGACTTGCGTCGCGCATCATAGGGATTTCAATGTAAAATTCATAACATGCCATTATTGGCTCCCCAAATTATTTTAGACCAAAAATGTATTAAGGTTTTTTATAGACAACAATTTTTTACGTCAATCAACCGCGTTAGTTTCCAATTTTTTACATAATGAAGACAGAAAATTGGAAAAATAAAACCCGCATCTTTTTCAATGCCATGGAATTTTATAATACAAAAACTACAATATCCGTCATGCCATGGAATGTCTGCTATAAAACAAATCAAATTCTATCAAAAAGTATTATATTTAGAACAGCGAATTCAACATAAAGAAAGACCAAATGACTAAAAACGGTTTCCTAATATAACAATTTACAATAAATGTTCGAATAAGTCACCATTAACTGCAAGGCAGTAACCAAGTCAATCATAAAATCCATTTCGAACTACTGCTAATTGATAACTGGACATCTTTTTGTTTTAGAAAATTCCATGGCATCGCAGATTATTGCAAAAGATGCGGGTTTTATTTTTCCAATTTTCCGTCTTTATTATGTAAAAAATTGAAAACTAATACGGTTTATTGACGTAAAGATTTTTTTTCTACAAAAAACTTTAATACATTTTTGCTCTAAAATAATTTGGGGAGCCAATAGTTGCATGTTATGAATTTTACATTGAAATCCCTATGATGCGTGACGCAAGTCACCACCCTGTATATAATTTTACCTTTTGTATTTGGTTTTATCAAATCTATCTCCTCCATAATTTCCCCTGTAGTCTGTATTGGTGCGATTCGGTTTTCTTCAGGATTTAGGGCATCTGTAAGACACATATGATATAAATATACTATCGCGTTGGGATAGATGCAATCACATACATCCACGAAAAGGATGCAAATCATATACACAGTGACCAAGGTAAGGATGATGGGAAAATTGGAAACCATAAGAGATACACAGTCGGATAATTAGAAAAAAGTTGAGTATTTTAGGGCTTAGTAAGATGTTTTTAAAATTCAGATATCTGATCAGTTCCAAAGGTATTCGACAGAAACCGAAATTAGCCGTATTCGTTTTTATTTTTGTCTGGTCCTGTTTAAAAAGATATCAAAAAACAAATAACCTTCCTCATAGGCATATCATGAACTTGATATTTTTATGTGAACCTGAAAGTACATACTGTTCGAGTAGCATTTTTTATGGAGAATACAATGAAGTATGGGACAATTATCATTCAGAAGAACCATCAATGAATTATTTTGACATTTTGTCAACCCCTACTACACCAAAATGTTAACACATAATATTAATAACAATATTTTTAACAAGCATTTTTTCTGACATAAATAATAAACAACTTTTATTATGTTGGTGTAGTAGGTCATTGACAACATGTCAAAATAATTCATTTATGGGTCCTTTAAATGACATATTGTCCCATACTTATTGTATTCGCCATACAAAATGCTACTCGATACAGTATGTACTTTTTCTAGGTTCACAGAAAAATATAAAATTGAGGATGTGCCTATGAGGAAGGTTATTTGTTTTTATAATGGAGATGTGCAGATAAAGCTCATTTTTTTAGACCGAAATAGGGTTCTAAGGGGAGGAGGCGGTATGGCTCTTTATACACAAACATTTAAAGACCGCCTGGCATACATTCAAAATCCTCCGACACTCTATTCTGCAGATTTTTCCTTTCAGAGTACTTTCCTCCGACAAACAGTTTTCGAGACATTCGCTCTTAAAGTTTAGACATCACCAATGGATATATTTCTTGCAGACGTTCCAATCGCCCTTTGTGAGAACCCTCTTCCGACAATCCGTTCTGAAGATATAAGGGAATATATCCGATTACGATAAGAGGTCGAGGAGGAGGTCTATGGTTGGTAGAAATTAATTCCTTTCGTTGATACCTTTCATTAAAGTACCATGAAGGATAAAACCAGTTCCACTCCCCCCCCCCTTCCCCACCACTGTCTTTTGATAAGAGGACAGGAAGAAGGGCAGTAGTTGGTAGAAAGCGGTTCCTTTCGTTGAGACCTTTAATTAGAATACCATGAAAGACAAAATTAATTAATTAATTTCTAACTCCCCCCCCCCACAACCGCCGGCCCCATCCCCCACTGATAACGAAAAAGAGTCGCGCGGGGAAGTTATAAGTATGTACAAAGCAATCTATTTGAATGATACCTTTAAGTTATGCACGTTTTACTATCAAAAACAGCATCTCAGGAAATAATTCATGCCCCCCCCCCCCCTTTAGACAGCGAAATTTTATAGTAAAAAATTCCAGGACCAGGGAAATTTTAGGACACAAATGAATTCGGAAATATTTACCTTGACAACGTTCGATGTCTTGAAGATCATATTCATCCTGGATGCTGTCTTACGGATGGACGGGATTTTTGAGCATCGACAAAATTCTAACTGATCTTCTCGGCATTGTTCCAAAAAAATACTGCAAAAATTATAATTAAAATTTGCATTGGAATTGGTGATAATTATAACATTATGGGGAAGCTAAATTTAAAAAACGAATCATTACAATGGAATGGTCATAACCAAATTAAACTTTAAATCTGTCATTATAGAGGGTGTCCGGTGTTGAACAGGTTATGCATCCGTAGGGACATATTTATTTCTTTATATCGAAATATTTTCTCCCCTAATTAATTTAGAGCAAAGTTGTAAAAAGGTTTCTTGTCGCTTGAACAATAAATTCTGCGTCTGCTCATGCCCTCATTTATTATTTTTAAAATCGGGAAACCGGAAAAAATATATAAATGAGAATTAGTATGTATTTGCCTAAAAAACTAATTTTAGTATTCAATACTTTCAATGGACGAATGATTTATCACTAACATCACTCGTGCCGTGAAATCATTGAAACAAAAATTAAATTTCCAATTATCCTTTTAATTTATAACTTCCTTAATTTCTCCGATTTACCACAACAAATTACAAATGGGCACATCAATAGACGCAGAAATTTACAATCGACAAAAACGGTATTTACAACTTCAGTGTAAAATATTTAGGGAAAAAAATGTTTGGATATACTTAAAGGAATTACCATCGATATGCCTATGGTGCGTAAACCAATTCTACACCCTGTATACTTCCGCATAAACTTTTCATGGGGCTCCTGTATTGTATCGAATCGAAAGCACATCGTAATCGTAGTTCGTAGTAACTTTATGTCTTCACCTACCTTACAGTCCTTTAGGTATTAATTAACACTTATCATCCAATGTCAATGACATTACGTTACGTAAGTACGCCACAACACAACTCCCCGCCAAAGACCCGAATGAAGGAAAATTGTAAAATGAAGCTGAGAACGTTCGTCTTATCATCTGTGATGCGATGCACTTTCTGCCAAGGCCAACGGAAATTCCAATCTGAAAGCCTACACTTACAATTTTATTTCCTACACTTATAATTTTATTTACAAAAACAAGGAAACGAAGATGTGTATACTGTATACTTGCAAAACTGTACAATTTGGCACAAAAAAAACTCATTTATTTATTCACCATTTTACTTCATTGCAAATTGAAAATCATACCTACCACGGGGCACGGACGATGGGTTCTTGTTTCTAAATTTCTTATATGATTGACTATTGGATTAGCAATGCTATAGTTACTCAATGCTTATTACTTATATTTAATTAACAAGACGATAAAGAGATTAACCTTTTACCAAAGATCATAATATGATCTTTGCTTTTACCATTATGTCCCATTATCATCTTGTGAAAAACGGGCGGATGGCGTTCTATTACGTACCGAACTAGCTAGAGCTTGAAATATTAAATATTTACAAAATAAATTTGACTGACGGCAAAATGGCAACATTGTTTTTTGAATTATTAAAAAAACTAAAGTTGTCCAACTTACGTAAAAAATCATTTTAAAATGACAGAATTCCTATTAGGCAAATTTTTCTTCGACAAAGTGTCACCAAACTCGAGGTAAAATATCTTGATCTCCCAGGCGATATAGCGGGAACTCAAAATGACAAAAACGAAATTTTGGTGATTCAAAGCAGACGTGCCCTTTTAGGTTGTACAAGTTTGTATAATAAGATTTCGGTGTATTGCAGTTTTCTCGAACGATGGGTGCCGTTTTTTGAATTATCCAAAAAACTAAAGTTGTCCAACTTACTTAAAAAATCATTTTAAAATGACAGAATTCCTATTATGCAGATTTTTCTACGACAAAGTATCACCAAACTCGTAGGTAAAATATCTTGGGTTCCCAGGCGATATAGCGGGAACCCAAGATGACAAAAACGAAATTTGGAGGATTCAAAACAGACGCGTCCTTTTAGGTTGTACAAGTTTGTATAATAAGATTTCGGTGTATTGTAGTTTTCTCGAACGAGGGGTGTCGTTTTTTGAATTATCCAAAAAACTAAAGTTGTCCAACTTACTTAAAAAATCATTTTAAAATGACAGAATTCCTATTAGGCAAATTTTTCTTCGACACAGTGTCACCAAACTCGTAGGTAAAATATTTTAGGTTCCCAGGCGATATAGCGGGAACCCAAAATGACAAAAACGAAATTTGAGTGGGTTCAAAACAGACGCCCCTTTTTAGGTTGCACAAGTTTGTATAATAAGATTTCGGTGTACTGTAGTTTTCTCGGACGATGGGCGTCGTTTTTTGAATTATTAAAAAAACTAAAGTTGTCCAACTTACTTAAAAAATCATTTTAAAATAATAGAATTCCTATTAGGCAGATTTTTCTTCGACAAAGTGTCACCAAACTCGAGGTAAAATATCTTGATCTCCCAGGCGATATAGCGGGAACTCAAAATGACAAAAACGAAATTTTGGTGATTCAAAGCAGACGTGCCCTTTTAGGTTGTACAAGTTTGTATAATAAGATTTCGGTGTATTGCAGTTTTCTCGAACGATGGGTGCCGTTTTTTGAATTATCCAAAAAACTAAAGTTGTCCAACTTATTTAAAAAATCATTTTAAAATGACAGAATTCCTATTATGCAGATTTTTCTACGACAAAGTATCACCAAACTCGTAGGTAAAATATCTTGGGTTCCCAGGCGATATAGCGGGAACCCAAAATGACAAAAACGAAATTTGGAGGATTCAAAACAGACGCGTCCTTTTAGGTTGTACAAGTTTGTATAATAAGATTTCGGTGTATTGTAGTTTTCTCGAACGATGGGTGTCGTTTTTTGAATTATCCAAAAAACTAAAGTTGTCCAACTTACTTAAAAAATCATTTTAAAATGACAGAATTCCTATTATGCAGATTTTTCTACGACACAGTGTTACCAAACTCGTAGGTAAAATATTTTAGGTTCCCAGGCGATATAGCGGGAACCCAAAATGACAAAAACGAAATTTGAGTGGGTTCAAAACAGACGCGCCTTTTTAGGTTGCACAAGTTTGTATAATAAGATTTCGGTGTACTGTAGTTTTCTCGGACGATGGGCGTCGTTTTTTGAATTATTAAAAAAACTAAAGTTGTCCAACTTACTTAAAAAATCATTTTAAAATAATAGAATTCCTATTAGGCAGATTTTTCTTCGACAAAGTGTCACCAAACTCGAGGTAAAATATCTTTGATCTCCCAGGCGATATAGCGGGAACTCAAAATGACAAAAACGAAATTTTGGTGATTCAAAGCAGACGTGCCCTTTTAGGTTGTACAAGTTTGTATAATAAGATTTCGGTGTATTGTAGTTTTCTCGAACGATGGGTGCCGTTTTTTGAATTATCCAAAAAACTAAAGTTGTCCAACTTACTTAAAAAATCATTTTAAAATGACAGAATTCCTATTAGGCAAATTTTTCTTCGACACAGTGTCACCAAACTCGTAGGTAAAATATTTTAGGTTCCCAGGCGATATAGCGGGAACCCAAAATGACAAAAACGAAATTTGAGTGGGTTCAAAACAGACGCGCCTTTTTAGGTTGCAGAAGTTTGTATAATAAGATTTCGGTGTACTGTAGTTTTCTCGGACGATGGGCGTCGTTTTTTGAATTATTAAAAAAACTAAAGTTGTCCAACTTCCTTAAAAAATCATTTTAAAACGACAGAAGGAGAAATCATTAATAATATTTTTGGCTCAAACGTTTTGTGCTGTAAAAGATGATGTTTTCTTGAATTTGAAGATGATTGCCACATACCATACCCTTTAGATTCAAAATGTTTTACAATCATAAGTTTGCACGGTACAATGGCCTAATAAGAGGTATCAGGCCATGCATTAGATGAATGTTGAAGGAAGATCCTATGAAATAATGCGCGCCGGTAGGTATGCGTTCCCAATTTATGGAGAAATGGGAATTTTATAGACAGATACACACGAGGACGAATGGTCTTCATTCCATTTCAATAAATCATTTGCGATAACTTTGTGAGGTACTTGCGATAGCGCCGGTTTGATGTACCGCCGGCTAGTCGTCGCCGGTTTGGTCATTGCCGGTTAGTAGTGTACCGGTCTACACTTCTATAGCCTTAAGTTTGGTAATTTTATGTTTGTTTATAAACAATAAAAATTGGCTAAGTTATCAGTTCTATCAAAGTTTATGGGACACAGATGGTATAAGTATAGGTAAATGTAAATGCGTAGTGGTTTCAAACTAAAAAAATTCGTTAAGGCCCTTGGTAAGCAAGAGGCGAAGAGACCACTTTCAAATTTAATTTTGCGATTTTAATAGCCCTTATCGACAGTTCATGACTTAACGAGAATACAAACATGAAATAATTTTTAATTTCTGATCGAATGACACCACTACCAAGTCTGTAAGTGGTGTAGTTCCGGAGCCTTTGTGATTCAGACAGACAGACAGACATCAAGAGCGAAAAAGTGCGCTTTTTATTTATTGTAAGTGCACTAAACATGTCACTTTATACTTAATTAGATTAGAACCTACGAGCTTATTTTTTACTCGTATATTAGAATTAGAATACTTAAAAATTTGTATGTGTATAAAAAGAAAATAAACTCGCATTAAAATTTGCACCACAGACGTAGCAAATGCAGGCAGTGGTAATCAGCTGTTCGTGTATTAATATCACCGGTCAAGGTCAATAATACAAGGCAAATCACACCGCTGCATTCTACGATTCTACCCACATTTTAATAACTCGTCCTACAAACAAATTACAAAAAAGTGATATGATATGACCTGTTGTTTCTTTTTGCAATTTGATAGTAGTATCGACTGTGAAAACTTGGACTTGCGGCGAAAATATTGACAGTATCATGTTTTTGAAAATGAAAATTGGAAGATTGTTATTAGCCACCGTTTTCGCAAATACCTAGGTTAAGGTACCTACATAAAGATTTCGACGGTAGGTATTCTAACGAGAGGTCTTGAGGTAGACTGTAGGTCAGCAAAATGCGCCCGGAAATATTATACCTATTTATTCGTTATGGATGATTCACGTGCGCCAAGAATGATTTCTGTTATTTTTATTGCTAGAAGTTACAAAAAGAAATTTTCTTTCGAAAATGAAGGTCAAAACTTTTTCAACAGCAAACCCATTATAGTGAGCAAGAGGCAAAAAGTGCACTTTCAAATTTGTTTTTTTCGATTTTAATAGCCCTTATGGATATTTCATGCCTTTGCGAGAATACATACATGAAATAATTTTTAATTTCTGATCGAATGACACCAATACCAAGTCTGTAAGTAGATGGTTCCTGAGCAATTGTGACTTTAGACAGAGAGACAGACAGACATCAAGAGTGCAAAAGTGTACTAGTTAGACTTAGATCGTTGAATGAAAAAGATGATGATTATTCAGCCGCAGAGCAAAGCGATCTTTGTAGGGGAATCGATGGTGTCCGTCTGTCCGTGAACACGATAACTGTCAAACGCTTGCACAAAAAGTATATTATAGTTTTCTGTGCATAAGTATATACTTTTTTTGCAAAAACCTTGAATATGTTTGTGGTTTGTGCAGGAAGATCCGTAGCCCCCCCCTCCCCCCAATTAAACCTTTTTATACCAAACTTACACCATTTTGTGTACTAATTGGCGAAGACCATTGTACTCAGTGAACACAAGGAGACTGATTCAGAAGTGAAAATGTTGTCATATAGCAATGGAGGAAAGATTTGAGAACTTGAGACAATTTGAGGAACTTAAGATATATAAGACTCTTGCCTTGTTTAAGTATGAAGAAGTTCAATTTAGGGAGATCTTAATCTGTAAATTGAAATTCAAAATAACAATACATAGTAAAAACAGGTTAATCACGTTAACACGATATTCAAAACAAACAACTTCATTACACCAAATAGTTCTTGAGATATTCGAATTCAAATTTTCGCGCATGCATCTCGCAAAAAACTTTAATTTCCACTTTGTTAGTACCTATTCTGTTACGACCCTT